TTATTTTATTTATTTTTTTATTTTTTCCTACTTGCTTTGATTCTGTTTTATCTTCCTGTATTTTAATCATGTAAAGCACTTTGCATTGTCTTTGTATTTAATTGTGCTATACAAATACATTTGCCTTGCCTTTAATAAGCAGTGAGCACTTCAGACTCCGACACCAAAAAAGCTGCAGTTTTGAAGAGTCTTTGACTAAATCATAATTTGCCCCTTGATAAATTCCCTTAAATTAATATGTTTGTCCATTTCTTGAAACCTTTGAAAAATCCATGTGGAATTAAGATGATCTTTGTGTTCACATAAGCTGCTAGCGGTCATAGCACCTTATCATATGTACTCCTAGCTGTAGTTACTCCCGGTAAAAGCAATCTTATTTAGTATTGAGTTGTTTATAGGATGTCTGTCTTTTTTGTTATTCTGGTTCTTTTACAGTCTATTTTGTTAACTCTTGAACTCATCATTGAGCATTTTTCTCATTAAACTTTAGTTTTGAAATATTCATAACTTATTCTAAGTTCTATTATACATAAGGAGCCTCTTTATTTATGCATTCTGGGATTTCTGTAGATTTTAAATTAACTCTTTTTGTGGACCTCCTCAGCTTCTCCTTCAGATTTTCCAGTCGCTTATGTTGCCGGAGGTGTTGGAGGACTCATTCTTATTGGAATTGCTGGAATCTTTTTTTGGGTTAGGAGAAATAATGGTGAGCAGAACCCCTTTTTTCAACATTAAATACCAATTTGAAATTAAAGTTTTTTATTTTAGAGTTGGGTTATATTCAGAAATGTTTACTATTTGAGTTTATTAAAGCCTTTAGCTTGACATTGTTTATCCTTAAACTAAAAATGGCATCTCATGAATATTTCCAGTATGTTATTCTCGAGATGGTGACTGAGATTTTAATAGATTAATCCTAATGTTTTTATAACTTGTCTTAACAGATGAGGATTAACATGGAAATCAAGGAAACTGAAATGAAGAATAGTTTATACAATGATATTATCCTAAAACATTTGAAGTATTGGCACATTAAATAAAACTAACTACAGCTGTTTTGTCATCAAGGGCAGATTCTCAAGACAACACCCACAAAAGAAAGATTGTTTGGAAGCTTGAAGCGTTATGGTCTATTGAAAGATTTTGTTTTAAGGAGCTACTGGCTCCAGCTGCACTATGTGGTTTTATTGTTATATAGGAAGGAGCCTGATAATGTTGGTCATTGACTGATCATCTGTAAGTGGAAAGTACCTCAGAAAGCTGTTTAAAATCAGCAGGTTAACAGTTGCCAATTGCCTCTCTAAGTCTTTTCTAAGTTATTTACTCGTAAACAAGTTATTTGATATTTCTTTAAAAGAAAAAAATCAATCTTTATTTTTGTTCACCATATGAATGTTAAATGTGGGACAGAACAAAGGTGGAGCATGAGGTGCAGGCTATAATAAGATAAAAATAACATTTCATAACAATGACATGACAGGGTAACAACAACCATTCGCTTGATATAAATAGTAGGCTCTGTAAAATGTATTTAATCTGAATATTAATATCTCTATTCTGCAAAATAAACTTGCCTTTTTTTTTTTTTTAGCAACAATCCTGTGAACAGGATGAGACAACAGCATGAGAAGCCAACAACGACAAGGAACCAGCCAATAGTGACAGCAGAGGGAGAGTATTTATGGCCGACTGAAACAAATAAGGAGCAGGTGTGAGAAGAGACAACGAGGGAGCCAAGGGGAAAGGACCACCCACAAGAGGGCAACAGAAAACAACAAAGAAAAACCTGAGCACTAAAATAAATCTAGAAAACACTACAAAATAGAAAACATGAAGAAACTAATCTACTTGATCTAATAAACTTGATTTTCATCAATGCCAAGTCAAATAAAATTGAAAGGGCCAGTTAGTGTTGCACTTTACTGATCTTTTTCATACTAATTGCACCATTATTTAAACTGTTTTCTTTTTTCTCCTACATTGTTAAATTCTGATCATTGCTGCACTTTGTCTTGGTAATGTTTATCTTACCCAAACTGCAATCTAATTACACTGTTGTAAGCTGTATGCAACAGAATTTTGTTTTGTATACACCCTGTGCATAAAAAATGACAATAAAATTTGTCTAAATCAACCGCTTTTCAAGTGTGGAATATATTGGTATGTCAACTTAATCTGAAAATAAATCACAACAGGCATAAATTGGAAAGCAACTGGACTTTTTCTCAGTTCTTTTGAAGACCTTTGGAAACCTTATCCAACAGTCTTTGTTTATTCTGTTTGCTCGCACAAGAGCACATACAGGCATGTCTAAAGAAAATGTTAGTTTGACTTTTACTGATGAAAGTGTGAAGCCCTTGTGAGTCATCACTGGTTATATTGTTTCATCTCAGTGAAGATGAAACGTGGAATAGGGCTCGGGATCCACGTTGCATTGTGGGACGTCGCAGCCATACTGACTGCTACGCAAACGTAAACATAGCTCTGATACAACGTTGTTGTTGAAAGAAGAGACAGAAGTAGAGAGAAAAAAGATGTTAAAATCCCGAAAAGGATCTGGAATTTACCGGGACACATTAAATAGAGAAGTATTGTATAGTATGTTGGCAAAATCAGCATTATTAATACAAGTAGTGGCACTTTACAAGAACTCCACTGAAAAGATCTCAAAAGATTAGAGGGGCAGTCTGTACTCCCTAGTTTTATTTTTTCTTTTAACAAAACTGAAATAAAATAAGTACCACATATAAACAAACTGAGAGTCTACCTAAAGTTCAGTTTGTCAATTCAAGGCATTCTAGTTCTGTTCACAATTGGGTTTAAAACTAATTTTCCAAGAATTCTGCAGCCATTTCAAGGTTACTTTAAATCAGTGGTCTCCAACCCTGGTCCTCAAGATCTACTGTCCTACAGATTTTAGATGCATCCCTGCTTCAACACAGCTGAATCAAATGAATGGCTTGAAAAGGTAATCAATCCTTTGATTCAGCTGTGTTGAAGCAGGGATGCATCTAAAATCTGTAGGACAGTAGATCTTGAGGACCAGGGTTGGAGACCACTGATTTAAAGCATG